ACCTCTGTTAGGTTTCCGGGCTCCCTCCCCAAGTCTACCAGCCCCTTCGCTCTCCGCTCAATACGCAGAGGGATTCTCTTTCAACTCCCAAAGGAATGCGTCGGGAGTGCAATCATATATTTATTCCCGAGTGATTCCATCCGTGATCCCAGTTTGTTCTCCTCCAACTCTGCGGTGCATCAAATCGCCGCAATGTTGACGCTACGCATGAGGAATATGCGCGTCTTTCTTTCGCCACAGCGGCAGTTCCCAGTCTGGTGGTTTACCCCAGTCGGTTCGGCAGCACGCAGACCTACTCGTGAGGTAGTTGACTGACTTAGGCAGTCTGTCTCACCTCCTTCCACCTCTGTCGCTTCCTCCTTAGAGTGCTGGGTTTGCCATTCCATAAGGCGGCTGTGTGGTTGCGAAATCGAATTCGAGCGGAAATTTCCTACGCTTTGATTTCGTTCCAACTGACTTGATGGAAGACGTGTTGCGTCATGCTTCTGCATAGAAGCCGGCTAGTTCGTTCGAACGTTCGTCCGTTCACTCACCGACTCATCCGCTTTCTGCATGGCGGACTTCCCTCTCCTAGCTGCTTCCAAAGTGCTTCGAGGGGAATTGTCGATGAGTCTTCATCGTGAGCCGATTGCCGACCGACCGACCGACCGAACGAGCGAACGACTGAACGAGGGCGCGACCAGCCCTCCCCAGACGTCCACAACAAGTCCGAGCCCCAAGTGAACGAGTTCCTGCAGAGCTCCGTCTGCGGTTGCCCAATGAGGACCGCGTGAAAAGCCTACTACATACATGCTCCGAGCGAGCGATGGGCGACCGACCCCTCAGAGAGAATGGTGAGCTCTATTGTATATGTACGCGCTGCGGTCTGAACAGTACCTCGGCTCACGCAAGTCTTTCGGCAAAGACGTCGAACTCTCTTCTTTCAGGGATTCTCCGAAAGTATTGGAGTAAACCCGTGGCGTGACATTGTCCCTTAGACGGAGAGCACAATTTTGGAACTGATGAACGCATGGGAAAGTTCTTGGCCACGCAGACCAGGTCTGGCTTCTTTCAATTCATCTCTCTCCTGTTCGGTTATGTCTCCATCTCCTCGTTGGAGCCGATATTCTACACGAGAGCGACACGTACCGCGATCTTTTGTCTTCGCTCTCTCCTTGGAATGTCTGCGACTTTGAGAAGTTTCGAGGTCTCGACTCTGTCATGGAGGAGGAGACTCCTTCAGGAGAATCGTGACAAGACTCCCCCATGCTGAAGTTCTTAAAAGTTGAGCATCGCGTCGGACTCGCTCGGAAAAAACACTGAGTATCCGCTCGCGAAATCCGATTGGAGAAGGCGCTCGAAAGTGTCGCATCCAATCATAGCTGTGTTTCGAGATCGCAGAGCGCGTCGCGGTCGACGATTGAGAGGTGGAGCTTGACTCGACGCCGAAGGAATACGAGAAACTCTCCTGATCCCTCCATCGGTAGCGAATGTTGAGTCAATGCTCGGGATCAGATTCCGACGCATCGCGGCCTGACAACGAGAGAATTTCCTGACTTATGCACCGAGAAACGGACTGGCGGTTCTTCCTCCCATCAGGTGACTCGAATGAATGTCACCAAAGGCTACGTAGATGTTTAAGGACTTGATTTCTGGCACGAGAACAGGAAAAAAATCAATCGGACCATTCGGGAGCTGGGATCGAGATTCTAAGGCATGGGGACAAAGCCTCGGATAGTTCAGAGCCACCGCGACGCACGCGAAGTGGAAAAATCTATAAACCACAGTCAATTACTTTCAAATCTCAAATCTCGTTTACTATGCGGCTAGCGGTCTTTCGTCTGGGCCATTCAACGTGTGATTTATTCACACCTGATGGCATTAGTTACCAAGGTCACAAACTATCCGATCCGAACGCCAAGAAGCACCTAGAGGAGAGTTCACTCGAGCGGGGCATCGCATACGAGCGTTGAAAGGACAGGAAAGACTCGCGGAGCGTGCACGAACATGCGGCGTCACGCAATGCTCCCAAGGCTCGAAGTAAGGGAGCCTCTTTGAATTTGAGACGACACACGGAAAATACGCCCAAGTGATTTTTTCGCAATAATGCAAAAGACCTCACACAAGGGCTCAGAACTTGATATATCTTCACCCTCATCATACATTACGCGGAGAGAAGTTTCGTCCTTTACGGAGCCGCGGAAGAAGCTTTCGACTCCATGCACCTCGAAGCCTGCTTGACCCTCCCGGGCAAGCTTGGCACTTGACTTCGCGGGTAAGGCGTAAGGCCTTTCCATTCCTTAGTTCCCTCCTTAGTTCTCGTTGACATATGTACGATGGTCTCCTGACAGGTATCAGAGTCCTCATCGGAGCCTCAAGTTGGGCTTATCTAGGTATAAATATCTCTCATCCATAACTGATCATCGGATTTGACCGCAGAAATTCTGCGAGCGCTCTTGAATAAGTTCTCCGTATATCCGGGGACACGGAAGCAGATCGCGATGATTCTCCGATACTGGACTGGAGTAAACCGGGCCCGCAGAGTGTCACCCTCCTGGATATATGTGATCTTCATCTTCGAGGGTCTGAACGCGACACACGTTCCCAGCGAAACTGAGGCAGAAATGGGCTCCCCGATTCCCCTCTTCCGAAAAGGAAGGTCGACATTTCGAGCTTCGCTGACAGCACCGAAGACTTCGCACCACCCCTTGCCTATACGATGCTCATGATGAAGGGCAGGGGCTGTCTGTTTCATTCTTTGTTTCATTTTAGCTGCGTCAATGACTGTTCGACTCGGTGATTCGAGCACTAAACTCTTCGATGCGCGCGAGTTTCTCGGCTTGAGGCTCTCAGCTCCGTCCCTAGCCCCCGCTCTCGACACACCAATGGTTGATCGGGTCCACCGGCAACTTCCGACATTTATTCCTCCTTGGCCCGAGCAGCTCGTGTCAGAGTGAAGGGAAAAGAGTTTCTCCCGCTGTGAGGTGTTCATTCTAGACCTCAAGAAAGACGGAATGAAGCGCGTAGCATCGGTGGAGGTATGAACGAAGGCATGCCCAATGATGAGATCTGGAATGTCTCGGTATGGAAGGAGCTTTTTGGCTTCAATCTCGAGCATGGTTCCGGATGGGATTCTCTTTCCTGTCGAGATGTGAACTCGCTCCGAGGGACTCCAACAAACATACAACTATCATAATCACGTTGCAAAAACCGGTTCTGACAGCCGGTGACCATGCAAATAGGAACATACCGGGATTCTGCGCGGCTCGAAGACGGATTGCGGGTTTGTACGAGGGAGTGTTCCTCCGCTCACATAGGTCAGGGTTTCAAAGAAATCAGTAATTCAGAAGTCGCATTGGGAATCCACGGGGAGTCTGCGCGTATGGAAATCTCTAGCTTCCGGCGATCCGATCGGAGAAGGTCGAGCGACATAGTTCCCGTCACGTCTCGCTGTGAAAGCGGTGCGGAAAAATCACAAAACAGGGGAATAATCGAATTTCTTACGGAAGAGTTGCACGGCATTCTCTTATCGCTCCGCTCCAGCGGTCAGCGGGTTCTCCTGCGAAATTCCCAGCTCCCAGATTCCCTTGAGCTCGCAACGATGCATTCCGAGATAGGGACCATCTGTAGTTTAGCTTAGTCACCCTCTACCGTCGCAGTCCGCTCGCTTCCTGGCTCCGAAAGCTAGTGGGTCGATCTGGCCCGGCCTTTTCTAGCGGAGCATGTTCCTTTCCGGAGAGCGCGACGGAACCAATCTCGACGAACGGAGAAACTCCGGGGCTCCGAGACTCCGACCTCGATGATTTCCTAGTCATGACGCGAAATTTCTCTGACATGGAAATGTATCGCGGTGACACGGCGCGTTGAGGATGGGGAAAATTCGCTTTAAGCGTACTCGCACCTCCGCAGTGAGGACGTTGTGTGCGACCTTGGCCTGCAGAGGAGCTGGCGTCCATCGGGAAGCTCAAACTGGAGACGTCAGCCTGAACGATACATCCCGGAAATTCGACGATTCCAAGAAAGACCATTCATGAATGCGATCAGACCGGCAAAGGTGCGGCGGAACGGAGAGTTCCCGAGGAAATTCCCGACCGAGCGAGGCACCTTGTCGAGATACGGCTCGGATTCCAACTTTTCCCCGACCGCCGTTCCCATGTAGAACTTCACTCGACAACGCGTCGAGCGTCGAAAACCATCGGCGCCATTCGCCTTCGGGTTGAGCGAGGAATCCTCTCGATTGCGATCGCGAGCGTGCCTCCGGGGAAATAATCTATGAGTGTGCGATCATTGACGTCGTTTGTCAAACACCCGCCGAATCCCACAAAATGTATGTGTGTCACCTGTAGTCGTCGTCTTCGGTGTCATTGTTTTCCGGGTCGAGCGACGATTTGTCTTCCGAGAGGGTCTTCCTCCGCAGGCACTCGTGAAACGACATTACGTGATTAATCGAGTAACCCTTATCTGCTGAGCCAACCGAAACGAACGAAAGAACCGCGTATTCACCGGGGCGCTTTCGGGCGAAACTTTCGACGTCCATGGAACCGTCATTGTAGCGAAAAAAGTGATACCTCGGACAATTCCTGTATACCGTTGAGGATCCGCTCCCCGAAGAGCTGCCGTATTTCCGACTCCTCCTAATTGGTACGTGGCTTTAATTTAGGCTCTGTGATCACGGGAGCCGACCTCTGGATTGGGCAGCCAGCGCTTTTGGCGCGAAGTAGGACGCTTCGACCAGACTCGGACAGAGCTCGTGTTACCGCGAGGGTCGGCTAGCGGACCTCCGCCCCGAGCAGGAAAATGTCGAATCGAGTCCCGATCCGCCTTGAACACTGGTCAGCCTCTCGTTCGGAGCTCGAAATACTCCAAGCTCTGAGGAATCCGAGAAAAGTCGAAGGTGATGGGCGAAGACGACCCGGAACAAGAACTCGAATCGCGTTCCTGCGATCGTCTGCAAATTCAAAAGTTATTTAGCTTGCCCTTTCCCCTCGCGGAGGAGACAGAAACGAGCTGTATTATTTCCATTCGCCCGCCCAATCTTATGTCGTGCTGCTCGTTGTTGATGGTAGGGAGTTTTTCTTTAAAGAACGGATCGCGTAATGGAGCTTGTGCATGTCAAGCAAGAAGTCAAAGACGAGTGTGTTGAAACCAATGACGGCAGGGAAATTCAGCCCTTCGACCGACATCGAACGATTTTCCAGCCGATAGTGATCGGAAATACCGCCCGACTCTTCGCTAAACCGAATTGCGAAGGCCACACCCACGAATGGATACTCTACGTCAAGCCTTATTTCAAAGGGGTTGACATGGCCAAGTTCATTCGGAAGGTAGGTGATATCCTCTCTCTATGAGAAAGTCATCGATCTATCGATCTGCCGGTTTTCGTGGGAGCGCTGAGAATGGAAAGATTCTGTCACGGAGAGATTCATTGCTCCAGTGTATGTCTCTCCAGGTGATCTTCGTTCTTGAGCCTCATTACCGGAGCGTAACATTGACGAAACCCCCATTTGTCGTGAAGCGTACAGGATGGGGTGAATTCACGGTGCAGATCAAAGTTTACATGACCTTCTCATCCCGAGCCCAAACTCTAAGCCATTGGCTCCGTCTCGTAGAATACGCCGATAAAAACGACGAGACATCAGAGTATCGCTACGTGCCCTCCGTTCGTTACGAAGAATACGATGAGATTGTCATCGAGGACCCCACTGAGGCGCAGCGTCGTGCGATGTTGACGGGAACGACAGAACCGGACCCGGAGTTCGAGCACTTCAAGCTTGAACGGGAGCAGGCACTCTGGAAAATACGGGCTGCCAGGGAGGTTCGTTTATTCTGACCATTCTGTAGACTTGAGTGAAAACTACCCAATTCAATATAAAAGAAGAAGTTGGATTGGAACTCCATGCTAAGAGAGATCCTCTCAAGGCCGCCGGTGAATGTAAGAGGTGCAACCGCCTGCACAAGCTGTACATGGTGTCGAATTTCCATTCCAGAGAATCCGGGCGGACATCGAGGGATTCGAAAAAAGGCTCGAGGCCTCACGCGCCGTCTAACTGCTATAAGCGACGGCTCGGTGACATACCATCGTCCTAATACTTTCCACGAGACACATGTGCGAAAGAAGATGTTCGCAGATTATGTGTATTCTCAGCTTACTCGAAGCAATCCCTACATGGAAGACCACTTGCAGTGGGATTCTCTCCGCATGTGATCACGAGTGACGATTCTCTTCTTAATTATAATTATATATATGTACATGTCCGGAAGTAAAACTGCGGACATTCGCGATTCAGGATAGAGGTGCAACATCATAGGTTGAATCGTACGCCTCGGGTCGGAGGACCGGTAAGCGGCTCGCATCCAATGGAATCGATCTCGAGCAGACTCTCGGTCGAGTTGATTGTGCAGACTGTGCGGAATCAGGAAGGTACCTATGCGAAACGGAACTCTGACACGATCATTAACCGGTATCAGATTGTAAGAAGCGATCGTTTTAATCAAGCAATTCGGCTTAATCGTATAATTAATCAGCGAGGCGTTTGATAATAGCTCCGCGACGCCCGACGTCCTGCATGTCGACTGGCTGCTACGGGAAGTGCCAAAGGAGGGAACTGCTTTCAAGGATGGGAGCGGAACTTTCATCGCGTGTGGCTATCAAATGCTCACTGGAGTTGGATTTCTCCCAAGTGGTCGTGATGAGAGAAAACGCTGGCAATTCACGAGAGCGCCCGATTGTCGACTCTGCTCAGCTGCTCACGCAGCAGCAAAAACCTCCCTTTCCTATTTTCCTTCTCTTGCCCCCGCCGTCATCACCTCATTCCTCTCTCTCTCTCGATGAGACCTACAGGTTGACCTCCGATCGAACCAGAAACTCATTCGGAAATCGGGAACATCGCACCCTCGACGGCCGAACGGTTCCAATCGCTGAGGACCACGAATATCCACCGAATCCACTGAATTCACTCGGAGTGGAGGGAGCGAGCCATGAGCGATGGCTCTGCTACGAGCTGTCCTTCCGAAATTTCGAGTCAGCAGAGACAGCTCCCAGAACACAGATTTGCTAAGAAGTGGATCCAATGAGATATGAGATCCCGAATATCTAGAAGTTTCACGACATTCCGCGAAGTAGGGTCTTGACCTTTCTCTCGGAGAGAACCGCCGCGAGCCTCTGAGATGTGCTTTGACTGGAAACCAGATGTCCTCAGCTCGACGCAAACAGCCTCCTCGGACGCCGACGACCATGTCGGCACCAATATCCGGGAATCTAATCCTCGCCGTGTCAGAACGGAGTCGAGGCGGATCCGAGCTTCGGGATGAAAGCGAGATATCCGGATAGCCTCAACACCTCAACAGAGCTTTCTTCCTCGCCTCTGCTCCTCTTCCCCTCCTTCGATCTCCGGGAGCGCTCCCCACCTCGAAATGCCCCCGAATTCTACTCCGGACGCCAGGGGAGGCTCGAAGTCGACGATTGGACCTGTCAAGAAGAGTTGGCAGGTAGACTCGGTGAAAGTCCTTCCGCTTAGCTGAACGGAGCACTCAGAGGCCTCTTTGAGGCACGTGCGCCGCCTTAGACTGACGTGCATTTGCATCCAGTCAAAACAAACAGGGAGACGCGCCAGAAAAACTAGGGAACGATTTTAGCGAGCCCGGTGTACCTTTGTTGAATTCATGACGGAAAAACGACAAAGTGAGACCCCAGTCGGATTGACTGCATCGGTGGAAGATGCGAAGATGCACGACTTGAAGAGAAAGGTAAGTGGGCTTACAAGTCCGTTCGATTTACCTCATTCGATTCGGAGATGGTTCCCTATCGTCCGCTCCGCCATACTCCGCCGGATTCTGGGACCTCAGGAAGTGAATAAATCTCGCGTTCTGTGCAGAACCCCCATGACGAATCCCTGGGGAGCGTTGATCGAGCGAGTGGATCACAGGGCTTGAGCAGCACGTCAAGCCTTGCAAAGCGTATGAAGAAACTGCGCTGCGGAGTTTGTAAACAGAAAACAGGTTTAGCTTCGTCCTACACTTGCAGGTAGGCCAAAGCGGTTCAGTCGAACGGAAATTCCGTGAAATCGATGACAGTTCAGAAGATCAGTGCAGTCCAAAGAATCACGTTTTCCAGATGTGGGACCAATTTTTGCGCAGGACACCGCTACCCGGAGCTCCACCAGTGTTCGTTTGACTATCGAGAAGCCGGGAAGGACGTCTTACGAAAGATGCACCCTCTCATACGACCCCAGAAGATTGAAAAAATTTGAGCCGATCCGCGGTGATGGAGCAAGTTCTCGAGTCGATCGAACCTGTGCCGTCGCTTGCAGGCCAGTATGTGCTTATGCTAAACAGGCGTATTGATCGATTAGTAGAGGCTGCACTTAGATTGAGATGATATTATATACGATAATGGGATGCAGTATCGGGGAAAAGCCATCAGAATCCACCGGTGCTAGCGCCGCAGTTGTTCGAGACGCGGGCATCAAAGAGAACGATACACGTACAATAAATATGAAAAGTGACATTTTAGAGGGAACGGGGTAAAATGTTTTGATGCGTTGATCTCATCGTAATGGCTGCCATGTCCTCGGATGTTATTTCTATGATTTCCCGAAGTATCCTCCATGAAAGCTGAATAAATGTCGAAACCATTGTTTTTCAAGCTCGCAATCTCCGTCCGGCGGTTTCCATCTGCCGGAGCCTCACCGAACAAGAATTGGATTCCGTTTGAATGAATTCCCTATTATTATCCGCCGCACCTAACAAGAAACATTAAAGGAATTGGGGGAGCTCCTCGGGGGGCAGGAAGCTTCGAAGCAGAGGCTCCCTTGTCGGAGAGATTGAATTGGAGACGACCGGACATCGATTGAATCATTCGCGGCTGAACCTAATGTGATATCCCGGAATTCATTGGCAGCTGCGGAATCGACCTTATCACTGCGTGTCCTCGCCGGGAACGTCTTCCTTCTCCGCTGATCGTTCTGACGCTCACGCCACCGATGATAAACAACAGACGCTCTGACCCGCGGATATTGGACATCGCTCCGACACCGAGTCAAGTGCGACAACTCACGATTCTCGAGCTCGGGTAGCCACCCTCTTCCGGCGATCCTCTGGTGAATGCAAACACTGCTTCTGATTGTCGGGCAATCATTCCCCGCACTCGCAGATGCTCTTCTATCCAGCGCGAGTCGACTCGAGTAGTCAGAGTAGGAGTAGGTACGTTGGATGATGACCAGGACCGCGTAACGTAGATGTGTATGTGCCTCATCGATGTACATCCTCTTATCAGTGCCCCAGTATTGCGAATCGATTCTCCCAGCGAAACATCAAGATTCAAGACTGATGAGATCTGTGTATGATCTCTTGATTATTATTATCGATCCCTTCATCACCATGATCTGTTCTTTATCCGGTTATCCCCGGGAACGTCCCGGAGTCCCGTATGCGATTCGCTGCACAACGAATTATCCTATTGACGCTGCCCAAAGCGGAATCCTTCCCTGACGCGTCTCGTGTATTTCAATCTCACCAGGGCTCCTCCGGAGACAAGCTGTGCTTGACGGACGAGCGAGCTATAACTTAGAATTTCTTCTCCTGTTTTTTTCTGTGCCCAATCCCTCTCTCCTGATAGTGGCCCACAATTAGCATTTTATTAGAGCCCGTGCCACTCCTGCTCAGATGAATGGGTAGTCCAGTTATAATAATTCGCACCCTATGTAGACCGTCGCTTCTGGAGCTCCGAACACCTGCAGCGCTGCGTCGTCGTCTTTTGTGGAATTCGGATTTGCATAAGGAGACTCGAGTCAGGCTTCTTGCAGACACTGATTATATGGACACCTGCTCCGGATGAGCACACAATACTCAATGAAGCACGCTGAATCAAGCTCTCTTATCAGTTTGAAGCGATCCCTATGAGTCTCAGATGCGAATGTCAATGGAGCTATTCGAGTCAGATTGGGGGAGCGAGAGAATTTCCCAAGCACGGACATCTAAAAAGAGAAGCGGAAAAGCTCGGCTCGAAACGATCACTTTCGGGAGCCAATGAAGATGATTTGAGCTCTGACTCAAGTCCCCTTCCCGCCCATCAAGTACCTCCGGGTGATCAGGTGAGCAGGCTGGGTTTCTGAGTGATCATCTCTGTGGATAATGGAGCTCGATACATCATGCTGCTTGGAACGATGGAGGAGCTTTTGCGGGGCTTGTTGAACTGAAGAGCTCCTCCAATCGGGATTGGACCGGGCTCTCATGAAAACTCAGCGACACGTGCGTTCGGCGCTCCGGAATCCGTCCCACGGGATACATGCCCGAAGGCGTACGGAACCGTGAACTCGAGTTCGAATTTGTTTCCCGGTCTCGTCACAGCGAATATTGTCTCACAAATATTTCTCCACGATCAGTTCAGGAACGAGTCCGACACTCGAACGCGCGCTATTGTTTGGAAGCCTGCGCCGGATGAAAGAGGATTTCGATTGAAATAATGTGTCGAGGAGCCTCCGGCCCTACGTAATGAATCTTGCTTTCTCGGAAGAATCCACGGAGTTATGATACACTCTGGGAAACACGGAGCACCTATCCGTACTCGAGGGAAATCAATTCGTTAAGTCACGAGCCGAAAAGCTTGTAATGGCTCATTTTGCGGGAACACGTCTCAGAATGAGATATCAGACCGTTGAGGGGTCCGAGATCGGGGCAAGCTTGTCCCGCCGATCCGGAATGATAGGAGCGATTCTTTAACCCTTCCTTCGATTGAGGAAAGGGCTCGGAGAGATCGTTCTCACGTGTTGTCGAACATGAGTCTCCGTTTGAGAGCCTCGCTGTCAGAACGGAAATGCGATAGAATCGACGTCCGAGTAGTTTTGAGGGAGAATATTCCGAGTGGGTTTTCGCAGAGCTCGGGAGCCCTCCTTCCTTCGGAAAAGCAGCTCGCTAGCTCCGTCGCGTCGCTCCGCCCGCCATGCGCTATGCGCTGAAGACTCGCTCTCCTTTGCACAACGGCCAGAATCGATGGCAGCGAGAAATTCAGAAAGATTTTCGAAAAAAAAACTTTAGCTGCCGCGCCAGCTAGTGGTGGGTGGTCTATTGTGAACGTGACGGAAAGTCCGCGAGTATCCTTTCAGACAGGGGGATAAGTCTTTCCTCACTCTCAGAGAACCACGGTGAGCTCTCTCCCCTTCGAGACCATTCAGATCTTCAGGCGCTCTGCGTCGGCCAGGTGAGGGGGACCTCTTTCTCGGAACTTGCTACTTGTGAAAATACGCGCATGAGGAGGACTTTGATCCATGACCTAGGCGGATCCCTCACGTTGTATATCGGGAACCCATTCCTATCGAGCTGAGAATAGGTTGATGAATATATTTTCTTCGGAAGCTCCATCATTCTCCAAGATCGATGGCGGCAAGACGACATACAGCCTGGAGCCTCCCTCAGAAAAAAGTCATGCGTCCCAGAGGAGCGCACACAATTTCCCTCACCGGAGCTCCATGTCTGGAGACCCACGAGTCTTCTTATAAGGTTGCCGCTAAATATAAATCGACATTCAGCTTCTGCTGCGCTCAAAGACGTATGTTCGAGGAGGAAGCCGCGACCTTGGAGGAGATATGACGAGGTCGTTCGGCTTCAATTTAGCCGCCCGCCGGCTTCTCTACCGCCTGTTCGCTTGCTTGCCTGGTTTCTTGCTGCTTGACTGACCGGGTGGTCGCATTGCCGGCAGCCGGGTGCCCGGTGGCCGGATGACCCGGAAGCCAATGCCACCTGAGCTTCCTGTTCCAGGCATTTCCGGTTGCCTGGCTTGCCATCCGGCTTGCTGCGCCAGTGAGAGCGCCATTAGGCAATGTGTAGGTATGAGGAGTACGCCGGCGACGGCATCGTCATTACGAAGCAACAGTGCTCCTTCCACAGCTTTCCTCGGAACAAGCATGACTGCCAGCTGGTCATTTGAGACATCATCGTTGTCGTCGCCTTCTTCTATTACCGCGGGGGCCGCTGTCAATAAAGCAATACAACTGATTGCGGCGGCCGTCCCGCCTCCATCTCACCGTGTCGTCGTCGTCAGCGGCCTCTCTCACACATCTCATCATCCAACTGATCATACGTTTCTCTCACAATCCTGGGGTCTACAGCGTCATAAAGACTATCTTCTCGCCCGATTCCGGGAGATGGGGAAGGTAGGCGTCACGCTTCTCCTCTGCCTACGGAATCTGCGGAAAAACACACGGAGGGAGTGCAGGAAACGCCGTGGTCCGACGACACGGGAAACGAGGACCGAGAGGGACACGCATATCGGTTTATGGTTTACTGCATGCGCTAATCTGCGCTCTTGGCACGTTTTCGTTTTGGAAGAGCTCATAAATGAGTTTCAATTTGTTGTCAGGGCAGCCACCGAGAGATTCCCGCCGAAATTCAGCTGCGGTACGCTCAGTAGATTCTTATCGGACTTATTTCGGTGAATTATTGGCCACCTCAAACGAGCGGAGAGAGGCAGAGAGACGCGAAGCCCAGGTCCGGTCTATGGGTCAAGCGGCAGCAGTTGATCTGAGGGCGCGATAGCGTAGATGTGTGTTTAAGTGTAAACACGTTTGCCATAACTCATCAATGTAAGATGCTAATAATCTTCTTTGATGCACCGCGATGCTGCCCACACGCCGGCCTGTCGGAATGCAGGAAGCGAGAACGCCGGAGGGAGGGATTCCCAGCGAGCGCCGTGCATCAATCATCCCAACGAACTCATGTGCTTGTAAGAGCGAACGCTTGAACCCTAAAAAGTTCACTCATCGGCGTGTAGAGCTCCGTGGGGGGGGAAGTGTTTATTTATGATGATTTACTTTCTCGCGGCCGGTCCGGAGCGACCTCGCCTGGCGGAAGCAGGGGCGGGAGATAAAATTGGAAATCGAAAGATCCTCTCAGGTTGATGATTGAGAATTGAGAACATTTCGCGACGCCTAAATACTGACGGCTCGATAAAGATTAACAATTACGATTGGATACACAATATTCGCGGGACTTGGATAATTTGATTGGCTCGGGCGATGCCGGAGCTGAGTAGCGGGCGATAGTCGGGGCCCAAGTCTGCAGCCAGGAGTTTTTCTGCGTTCTGCGCCCTCTCCGAGCAATATGCAAGTTCGCTGTCTCCAGGCAACACTTTCGCGGGAGCGCGAGCGTAGCATCCGAGCCAAGCGATCACGGGGCGAGCTCAAGGGTGTCATGTGTCGTTTCTTCGAAGGTAGATGTTCAAAGCCTCCTAGAACAACACAGACCTTCTCCCCACGAGACGGAACGAGCTCGCTGCCTCCAACGCTCAACTAATAGAGCCGAAACAAGATGTTCAGCAGGACTTTACGTCATCAGTCGCACAAGGACCGGAGGAGAGCTCCTTGCGGGAAATAATGCGTCTGTGGGTTTTTCCAAGGACTGACGCACGTTCCGCGACCGAGATTCTCCCTTTACGGGTTCTATTTTGCGGTCGGCGTGCTCTGCTGTAGACGACCCTGCTTATCTGAACAATGCAGGGCGCAGACTTCGTGAAGCGAAGCCAATCGATTCCGTGACTCAACAAGATCCACTCAGCGGATTTTATTCTTGCTCGGTGTGTGCCGACCTCAAGTAAGAGCGAAACTCTCTGCTCTAACTGAGCCCCT